CCTGCAGTAATCGAACCCCACAGCCTCCCTCAGGCTCTCGCATGGCGACGTCGACGTTCGGCATCGTGAGTGTCGTTGGTGGTGCTGTATTAGGTATGGGCTGTTTCGGCAGAGCAATATTGGTAGTCGGTACGTGTGAGTCTATAGCTCCATGCCCTGAGGAGCGTCAAGAAGAGAATGGCTCAAGTCGCTCAGGGCAGGCTTGGTATGGCAGAGTCGCACCGTGTCTTGAGGTCGGTTCGTGCGTTGCGTTCGTTACACGATAGTTCCACCTTGGCCAACGTTGACCGACTTGCGGCAGAATAAGAAGAAGAAAAGAGCGTGGACTTCACGAAACTACGGCGCTGACAGATTGGAAGTATGCCGTCAGCCAAAAAGGCGTAAAAGAATGTCGCGCGGCGGAGAGGAGGGGGCTTCCCTCTGGCGGTTACCACGAGCGAGGCCTGTTGCGTGGTGAAGAAAGGCGACGAATAGGAGTCGTGCAGGGAAGGATGGCTCGAGTGGTCGTGGATGGCCCAACACCTGTCGTCTCACAATTCGGGTGCGTGACACTGGGCAGTGCAGTGCAGTGCAGTCGGTCAGAACGTTGTCGACTTCAGACGAATGAACTCGTGTCGATCGGGAATGCGATTGATGCTGGCTCGACTATTCGTTTGGCAGCCTGCGTTGTTTTGCGTGAAGCAGAGGACCGATGCTGTAGGTAGTGAGCGAGAGAGAGGTTGCGCCGATGGTTGGCAATGAATGTACAGTCGAGTCGAAACAACGAAGGGACGGAAGTGAACAGAACAGGCAACGACTGTTCTTCCTCGAGAGGGCTAGGCTAGCCTGAATGCGTCTTGCCTCCCTTGAAACACTTGTGCCGTCCCCGTCACAGCGTTGAGGAAGCGTGCGAGAGCAGAGACGAAGGGATGCAGAAAGGGGCGCGCCCAGAAGGGGGCTGGGGGATGGCTGCCTCGGGCTTGCGCGACGAAGCTGAAGGGGACGGCGGCCGGCTGCGACAATTTGATCCCAGTGCCAATGCCCACTGCCAAACTAGCGCCATCTTCCTCCCCCCCTGTGGACTGCATAGAGGGCCCTTTTCGTCCCTCCTCTCCCCCTCTCGAAACGGGCCCGGCGAGCGGTGAGCGGGGAGAGCATGTGCCTCTGTGGCCCCTGAATCCTGGACAAGCGAGGATTCACGCGGCATACATGGCACCTGACAACCAAGTATGTTCAGTCCCTACCTTGGTAGAGCCTCGTCACAAGGGCCTTGTTTCGTCCGCAAGCAGCCAAATGACGGGAATGTCGACCGCAATTTAGGCACGGCTCTAAGGGACGCCCATGGGACGCTGAGGGGACGCCTAGGGGGCCGCTGTGGGCCTGTTGTGGGGACTGGCTCATGGAGGATCGTCAGGTCCCTGGATCTCTGAAACATGCCCGATCCACCTTATGTAATGACCACGGCCCCGTCTTGCCCGTCTCCTTCCGCGCTCCGCCACGCTTTCACTGGCCTTGGACGCACAAGCCACAGCTTGCTTTGCTGACTGACTTCCTCCTTCGGTACCATGTTGCAACGATGTCCTGCAGGTCGCACCTGCAGATCGTACCTCGTACCTGGCCTGGTATCCGGCACTGGACTTGGTTATGTTCCGATCCTTCTGCTTCGGCCCCCAAAACCCATCATCTCGTGTGGAGACTATAGAGCTATTCTCATCGCGGCCCCCAAAATCTGAGCTTTGGTACCTAGTACCCCGCCTGCCCAAGTGCATCCATGACATCGACCACAGAGCCAGTGATAAGCTTCAACATGTCGTGCCTGCCTGCCCGCCTGCCTGCCTGCCTGCCCGCCTACCTCGGCTTCGCCATTGACATCCAAGTCGCGACCTTGGAATTTCTCCTGCTTTGAACCAAACACAACACAATGGACGCCGATCCACAGACGCAGTCCGCCTTCATCACGACCTTGCCAAGAGAAGTGCGCGATGCCATCTATCTCGAGCTGTGGCGCACCAGTGGCCTGCGCCAGCACATCCTGTTCCATAGCTACGAGAGCGACTGGAATGCGAGACACTTTTGTCGCTGGGCGTGCACGACCGACTTTTGTGTTGAGAGTCCGCTGCAGCAGGACATCGAGCAACTAAGGCGTGACCTTGATGTCCCCCTCGGTGAGGATATCGAGAAGAATCGAGACCCGAGAGCCACTCTCTATGGCCGACGGATGCAAAGCCCCTGGCTCAACCATTGGGCCTGCGGCGAGCGGGCCGAAAAGGCACATGGGTTCGACGCCATCATGGGGTTCCTCACCTCCCGCTTTTGCTGGAAAGGAAAGACGGTGCCCGGTGTCGAGCCCGAGGCCGCCCCAAACGTCTACATGCCCATGCTACTATCGTGCAAAGCCATGTATGAAAGCCGCCCTGCAAGATAGAGCCCGGCGCTGATGCACAAGTGCTGACATCCCTGCTTCCAGCTCTGCCGAATGCCTCAAGTCGATCTACGAGTCCACGACATTCGTCTTCACCGACATGAAAACGGTCCAGATGTGGTTTGGCTACTGCGCCTTGCCACCGTTCATGCAAGCCTGGCCGAAGCGCGGTATCACGCCGCCTGCGTTCTACAAATACGCTAGAAGCTTCGAGCTCTCACTGTTTCCCACGTTTCCTCTCGACCTGCTCTGCGCGACCAAGGATCTCCCCGGGTTGCCAACGCGGCACGCTGTCTACGACTTTCACTGGCTGCGCTTGGACCGATTTGCCCATCTGACCAACGTCAACATATGGATCGAGTCTCGGTCGCTGATGCCTCTGTCCGAGGACAATCTTAACTTCTCGGGAATCAAGCGCTTCTCTCGCGAGGCGCTGCACGAAGCTCTGGCTTGCTTTTCGAGTGTTCCTTCGGTCACCATCAGCACTGTCCTGGGTTCGGGCATCGGCCCAGATGATGACGGCCGCGTCGAGACATTGCTCCGCCTGGGTCGCCTTGTTCAAGCGCGCCTTGGAGATCGATTCACTCGTATCTGATGCGATCATGCCTGG